GGGGGGGGGACGGGAGGAGGTCAAGTACCGGCGCTACAGCGCCACGTCCACCTGGGATTAGCGGCCAGATGAACCCATCCAAAAACCTGAGCATCCCCCCGCCCCGACATCGGGCTAGAACGAGAAGTTGTGGGGTTAGTAAAACCACATTTGAGAGAAAAAACAGTGCCGAGGTACAGGAGATGCTTAAAGTAAAAACAAATTAAGAGTTTGTGGAAACGGGATCCTCAAGTGTTTTTTTTTCAGAACTACTGTATATTCCTTTCCTTTGCTGAAAGTCCAAACATGGAAGCCGGGGTCACCATGAGCTCAACGTGACTGCAGACACAGGCTGACGGCAGGAACACTCAATAAAACATCAACAGCAGGTGTAGAATGAAGTCAGCATGACTGACTCTCCATTTTTGAGTTATCCTGGAAAAAGGTATCCTGGGAAACACAGGCCGACAGGCTTCCCTAGTTTCTCCTTACAGTACTTCCCCCCTTGTAGAAGGGACTAGCCCTGTCAGAATAGTATTTTTTTTTTTAAATTGACAAATTCACTGCAGAAATAAGGATTTTAAAAATAATGGAGCCCTTTCAAGGGGGAATACTGAATCTTTAGCTTCTGCAAATGTAAAAACAATGCGTATTTGCAAAGTTCATCCTGTAATATACATGCATTATTGCTAGAGGGAAAAAAGATGAATGAAATCTCTTCTGCAGCTTTTATGGTGCCATCCAAAATGGCATCTGTTGTTTAGCTCGCTGTTGTGAGGAAGGGTACTGGTATCCCAAACTCCATCCCTGTGAAAAAGTACTTGCGTTTTTATGGCCACCGTGTTCCTCCTCTTCATCTGATGAATCTCCAGCATATGCCACTAATCCAAATCCCTTTTCGGCAGTTTTCATCTTCTTAGCTTGATGATCTAGAAGGGGAAAACAAAACAATCCCCCCAGCCCCCAAGAAGGAAAAATAAAAATAAAAAGAGATAAAATGCCCCAAAACGAGTTAATAAAAAAAGGCGTTAATTGTCAATTGTTAGTTGGACACCATTTTGAGGTCACAAGGCCAATGGTCATCCAAGGTCGAAGGCCACACGAAACAGCACCAGCAACAGCACATGTGATCCATCAGAACCATGTAAGAGAACAGAGAAAGAAGAAAGAAACACACAAAAAAGGTAAAGTTAGCAAATGGGTCTAAGTGACAGTCATTTCACCGTTAAAGAGATAAATACGTAAAGAAAAGTAGAAATTTTGTTCAAAAGAGAGCTAACAGAAGAGCAACCTCTGGGAGCAATACTGCAGAAAAACTACGGTTAATCAGGCTAACGTGAGGTACCTGCAGACCTGAAAGGCACTGAACTACCAGGAGAGCGAAACGACTCCATGTTGTACCAAGGCGCAAACCCCTGACGTACGACAGCCCTGCGACAGGAGGGAATCTGACAGCACGGCTGCGGTCTGCAGACATCTGTCTGTACCCAGCCCCCTGCACCAGAACTCCCACCGACACTCCTCAGTGCCTCTGAGCCACTGACATCTGCCTCACAGAACAGGCCCCTGAGATCCGTGCCTCAGCTGACCGATGGGTCCAAAAGACCCGTCTTTACTCCTTCACTTACTCGCACTCTCCTCAGTCACACAGATCTTTATGAAAGTTTTAAGAGCAGCACCGTGTGTGTATAGTCCCAGCGAACCTGAGTGATTTTAGAGCAGTGCAGCACGACCTGCTTTTCACTTAAACAATGCGGTATAAAGACCAGCCAAAAAAAAAGTAAATCACCTATTTAAACAAATGTTAGGACCAGCACAAACTCATTTGGGAAAGGAAACCTGACTTACAAGCGTATTTTATTCGTGACACTCACCATGGTTGCCTGGCAAAGACCCCGCACCATTTCTTTCTTCAGATTCCGATTTCATCCCAGTCACAGGAAAAGCTGGCGGAGGCATCAACTGCCTATTTAAACCAACGCAAGCCCTTATTGTTTGTTCTTTACAAGCAGCAAAGAATCAGAGGTAACAGCAAACAAATCCTTAAGTCAGGCCTTGACCTGAGGAGTTTAACTTTCAATTGCCTGACTGGTCTAGTGGCCTTTGACGATGGAGCAACTGCAGCAGTGGACAAGGGAACAGCAACCGATGTCCCTCTGGGGAGCTCTGCAAGGCCTTCAGCACAGTGTGTCCCCCCCCAACGTTCTCACCTCTAAATTGGAGGGAGATGGATTTGATGGACGGACTATTAGACAGGTAAGGAATTGGATGGATGGCTGCATTCAAGGAATTAGAGTCAACAGCTCAATGTCCAAGTGGAAACCAGTAACAAATGGTGTTCCTCGAGGGTCCCTACTGGGCCCAATGCTATTGAATGTCTTCATCAATGACACAGCAGGATCAAGTGCACCCTCGGCAAGGATGACACCGAGCTGGGTGGTCCACTCTACCCGCAAGAGGGAAGGGAGGCCACCCAGAGGGGCCCTGACAGGCTTGAGGAGTGGGCCCGTGCGAACCCCACGAGGTTCGAGGCCAAGTGTGAGGTCCTGCACCTGGGTGAGAGCAACCCCCGGGATCACCACAGGCTGGGGGGTGACGGGACGGAGAGCAGCCCTGCCGAGGAGGACTTAGGGGTTCTGGCGGATGAAAAGCTGGACACGAGCTGGCAATGTGGGCTTGCAGCCCAGAAAACAAACCACGTCCTGGGCTGCATGAAAAGCAGCGTGGCCAGCAGGCCGAGGGAGGTGATTGTCCCCTTCCGCTCTGCTCTCGGGACCCCACCTGCAGTACTCCCTCCAGCTCCGGGGCCCCCAGCACAAGACACGGGCCTGTTAGAGCAGATCCAGCGGAGGGCCACAAAAATGATCCAAGGGCTGGAGCACCTCTGCTCTGAAGAAAGGCTGAGAGTTGGGGTTGCTCAGCCTGGAGAAGGCTCTGGGGAGACCTTATGGCAGCCTTTCAACACCCACAGTGGGCTTGTAAGGAAGACGGAGACAGACTTTTTACCGAGACCTGTAGTGACAGGGCAAGG